ATTGAAGTATAAACACCTGACTTGTTAATTGTTCACCAATGTAGCAAAGCGTGAAAACGTTGAAGACAAACGATACTAATAGAAAGAAATATGTTAAAATAGCTATGTTATCGTTGTTATTCCACTCCTGCGAGAATAAGATAATATTCATTCATTTATTTTACTCGTAACATTTTTATTGAATTAAAAACATATGTTTACACTATAAAATTTAATTTCTTTAAGAAATCAGATTTGTTAAAATATTTTTAATATTTATAAACGAATGTTAAATATCTATATGTAATGATAGAATTGAATATACGAGAATGCAAGAGTTGAACATAGAATATATACAATTGAATATAAAATACATGACATATAATATATTTGAACTTTCACACCATTTTTCTTAAGTTAAAAATTGTTTACGTATTACCGTAATGCAGTAATATTCCAGCGAACATATAATCAACGTTGCTCCTACTATTTCAACCAAACCTATTTCGCGTAAAATTTTATCGATGTCGACTGAAAATCTACAAAACTTTTTAATGTAGATTTTATATATATATATATGTATAGATATATATATATATATATCTTATTTGATATAAATTATTTATTTCTTTTACTTTCCGTAAGGTTAATATGATTGATTCCTAAACTTAGATCCAACAAAGAACTAAAAGCAAGAATCAATCATATTAAAGAATCACTAAGCGTTAATTGATTAGTTTTTCCCACTGAACGTAATTATTGAGTATAGTTAATAGGAGTTAAGTATATATATTAATTTTTATTTATAAATATTTCTATATATTTGTATAAAAATTTAAAAGATTAATATTTTTACTTCTTTTGTAAATATTTTTTATGCTATGTTTCATATGCTATGTTTATATAATTTTTTAATTTAAATAATATACATCAGGTACTTCAGATACAGAGGAGAGAGAGAGAGAGAGAGAGAGAGAGAGAGAGAGAGAGAGAGAGAGAGAGAGAGATTTTTTTTATAATATGCAACAAGACTCACCTCAATGACTGCACGTGATGTTTTACAATAATTGCCATACATTGCTTCATGTGATTGTTTTGTGCACCTTTTATAAAGCTTTCTATGCGATCCATTACGATCTCGATTTGGCCGCAAGCGTGAGCTACGAACATGGCTGCTAAGCAGCACACTGCCGTGGTGACGTTGAACAATATGATGCTGGAAAACCATTGCGCGCAAAGAACACACACATAAACTGGCATTAAATGGAAGTTGAAAACGTTATTGAAGCCGGCAAAAGGCATTGGTTTGATAGTGACATTCTGCTCGTTGATAGTATGCGATAAAAACGGCATCATGACATGAAACCACAAGCCTCCGCAATACATGAATATTATACTAAACTTGGATAACACATGGCTTTTTGCTGCGTTTTTAATCATGATTTTTCGATGATCCTCTTGTTGGATTGTACGCCAATCACTACTCAGTATGCGAATGCATTGCTGGATGCTCTTATGATGAACGATCAGGAAGAAATATTTCAACGTCACGACAAACACATAACATAACGGACCTAACACTTTAATTTTATCGCTTATGGCACTGTGTTTTGATAGCGTAACAATGATCATGGAAATCAAAAGAAAACTGAGTGCGGACCAACATAATGCGAATGATATCGTCGCTAATATCTTCTCGAGCTTTGTAGTATTCGAATAAACCAACGGCCAGATTCCGAGAATTCGTAGTATCCATCGATTCCACACTAGCGCTTTGATTATATCCCTCTCACTGTTCACATTCGACCAGGGGATGTTAAGCTTAGCCATACTATCGTCACGATGGCGCGAAGGCGACTGGTGTGCTTCGTCGATAGCGTGATGATAAAAAATTGCGCATGACAATCGCAGATGCTTTCAACATTGTCAGGATAGGAAAGGGGAAAAGTAGCTTGCGTGCGCTTGAACAATCAATTTTGTCGAGGGGAATACTGCTTTGTTACAGTTATATTACTACTTGAACAGAGGGATTTCTAAAGCATGTAAAATTGCTTATACTATTTCCGTCTAATTTTCAATTGTATGTGTGATTGATTAATTTTTGTAATTAAATAATGTGATACGAATTAAGATGGATATACGTTATCTTCTGTGATGTACACAAGATAATAACATGTATATTATTGTTTTAGAATATATTTATTTAGCGTAATGCATAAATCTTTTCAATATAGAAGTTACTTAATCTTATGTTGTTGTTTGATACGGGGAATAGTATTAAAAAGAAATATATAATTACCGTTATCAAGAAATTTTTACCAAGCATATTACGAACGTCATTCCCATTATCTTGAATAGACGTAACTATACAATAACGCAAAGTATTTCGATGCTAACTGAAGATCTACCAGGTATGAAGTGGCATTTGTCAAATATTTTTAATGAAATAGACGAAAACGTAATTCTTTTAACAGATGATAATATTTCGAATAAAGTTAATTTTTTATATTTAATAAATTTTTGGTAAAGAGATTTGCAGGCTTTCTCGTGCAAACATTATTGAAACGTGCAGATAGTTTTACAGATACTAAAATGTAGATAGCAAGACAAGATACTTACTTTAAAGTTCGCACGTGATGCACGATAATCACCATGCATTTCTCAAATTTTGTATGATTGCATTTTTTCTTGAAAAATTTTCTACGCGTGCTATCACAATGTTTATCTGGCCACGTATGAGCGATGAGTCATCCGCTAAGCAGCGTGCCGACGTAATGACGTTAAATATGACAATACTGATGAAATATCAATATGATATTGAGGAGATAAGGCCAAAGGATTACGCTGAAATTTAAAAACGCTATATCTCTACATTTTTTTTTAGTTATAATATAAAATCGACAGGGGTACAAACGATTTTCTTGTGTAAACGGAATTTGAAAATATAATATCGTATGATCGTGCGTAGACCGTTTTTAACTTCCTCGTTTATATCTCAAACGGTACTTTCTTACCGTTTGAGGTACAAACCAAGTAATAAACTTTACAAACGCGTAAAAATGAACTGTATTAACCATTTTGATTTTTTTTTAAGTTGAACGCCGATTTATATCGGTTATTCCTTGCAGAAATACGATTTTAAGATAATTCTCTGTCGTACTTTCATTTCTTTGAATATTGAAAATATATTAAAATGAAACACCAGAGACGTAAAGATTCATTGTGAATATGAAATAAAAAGTTTGGAAAAACAGATATATAGATGGCATCACTAAAAAATTAAAATTTTTTCAATTTTGTTTCAAATTGAGGTGCATTTAGAAATATCCAGGGTGAGTCTGATAAAAAGTTCACCACATTTTTCTCGAAAACGGTTAGAGATAGGTGGAATAGAGGTATTATCAAAATTGTAGGATAAGTAGGAGGCCATACTTTGATGATCACGAGTAATCTTAAATGTCCTTTGTTTTAATACTACCAATAAAAAAATTGTTTTAATAGGAGGGGTATTTTTTATCGACGGTGTTCAATGAACTGAACAATTTTTCATTAGAGTATTTTTTTCGAAAATTCAACTATTGTCGGGATATAAACCAAAATAAGTCAGACTAAAAGTTTGGAGAACAAATTTTTTATTATTGCAATAAATGTTCGCCATTTTAATCTATATGCCTGTAGTCTTCGTGGAAAATTTGCTTGAACTTCCTGTAACTCTTGAATCGTTATTTCGCGAAAAATATTTTTTATTCTTTCTTTCATGTTTTTCGAAGTAGTAGGACATTGAAAATAAGCTAGCTCACTCTTCCCCAAAGATAATAATTCAAATATGTTGTATTGGATGATTTCGCAGGGAATAACGCAGAATCACATCTACCAGTCCATTGGTTTGGAAACATTCTGTTGAGCTCTCGCTTTGTATTTACACCGAAGTGGGGTTATGTATCATCTAACAATCTAACTGAAGCCACATTTGAGCCCTATCCCTCATCGGAATATCTTCCACTAAATTTGGAAAATCATTTCTAAGAAAACGAATAAACCTCTCGATTGTTAGAAATTCTTCAAAAAAGAATGGTCTAATTAATCGAACACCAATAATTCTTGCCCAAACATTAATACTTCAATAGTGTTGATCCATAGTTCACATCCAGTGTGGGTTGACTTTGATCCAATAATGCAAATTGTGCCTGTTAATGGTTCCATCTCTTAAATGTTTCTTCATCTGATCATAAAACAAATCGAAAAAAGTTAAAATTTTTTCTAATTTACTTTTAGCTCATTTTACAGAACTGGATCCTTATGTTAAAATCATTCTGCGAGAGTTCTTGGAGTACCGATATACAATATAGATAGAACTTGTTTTTTTTTAGTACATGACACTGAAGATGACTAATATTTCTATCGCGGCAGTTTGACTTATTTTGGCTTATATCCCAGTAATAGTTAAATTTTCAAAAAGATACTCTAATGGAAAGTTATTCAGCTCGTTGAGTACTATTGATAGAACGAATAAAAAATACTCCTTCCTTTAAAAAAAAATTTTTTTATTAGTAGTATGAAAACCGGGCTTTAAGGTTACTCAATGTCATCAAAGTATGTCCCTCTACTTATCTTACAATTTTGATAATAGATGTCTTCTACCTATCTCTAACCGTTTTCAAGAAAAACGTGGCGAACTTTTAATCAGACCCGCTCCATATATGATACATAAATGAAGATTATGTTTGCAAACTTTATTATAATTGATGGAAAATCGCAAATATTTCGATCGTATTTTTAATGATATATTGCAATCGATGCGACTTTACTAAATTATAAGCGTAAAAAATTTTTATAAAATTTTGATTCGGACTATGTTTATTTAATGTATTGATATGTGTATTTAACTGATTGTATCAAACACGTATACATTATTATCTTGAAATATATTCAATCTAATTATAAATTTTTTTTCAAAGGAATTACTGAATATTATTTTCTTCGATGATATGAAGCAGGATGAAAAAATCCTCTTGCATGGATTAAACGAATGTTCGGAGCATGTTTAGATATGCAATCGAAGTTTTCAGTACCTGTTAATGTATCAAATATGTACTTAAAAATTTTTTTTATTATTGTACTTTTTCACCTTCGAAATGATGACAAATAGTACTTACAGAGCCAAAACTTGAGAACGAAAGATTAATAATTTTTCCTGCAGTAATTTTTATCGGATGATGTGATATGCTGATCATTAAAATAAGATCGAGTGCAATTTTTCCTGGTAAATGGTACCACTCGATTTTATATGAAGCAAATCCAACTTTGCTGCACTAAGTATTTAATTTATATATACGTTAATTCATATATATGTTGTCTGTGTATGTCACGAAAATTTTTATTACTATTAGAAATACATATTATAAATTTTTATGATATATATTGCAATATTCAAATGTTTTAAGATTAAATATAATTTAATATAAGATTTAATATAATTTAATTTGTTATTCAAAATTTCAGTATAAACACCTGATTTGTTAATTGTTCGCCAATGTAGCAAAGCGTAAAAACGTTGAAAACAAATGATATTAATAGAAAAAAATATGTTATAATTGCTATACCATCATTGTTATTCCATTCCTGTGAGATTGAGGTAATATTGAATCATTAATTTTATTTTTTTATTGAATTAAAAACATTTTTGTTTAAGCCATAAAATTTTATTTCTTTAAAGAATAGGAAATAATGCATACACATAAAATATGTCAAATATCCATATATTTAATGAAAAATTTGATATCAAAGTGTACGAGTTGAATTATTTATTTCAACTTTCACATCGCAATTATTTTTGAAATTTTTTACATTACCATGATGCAGTAATATTCCAACAGGCATATAGTTAACGTTGTACCCACTATTTCAACCAGACATATTTCACGTAAAATATTATCGATACTGACTGAAAATCTGCAAAATCTTTTATTGTACATTTTATATATTTCATTTAATAAATTAATTTCTGTTTTCTACTTTCTGCGGTGAACTATCGAGTACAGTTTTAATAAAATTTAAGTTTAATTATTAATTTAATTTAATTACTATTTATACAGTAAATATTTCCATATTTACAAAAGTTAAAATTTTTGTTGCTTTCCTTCTACCGTAAATATTCTTTATTAAGCAATTCATACAATTTTCAATTTAAATAATCGGATATAATTGACACAAACAATTTTTTCCGCAATGACGTGCTTCAAGCACTCACCTCAACGACTGCATATGGTGTTTCACGATAATTGCCATACGTTGCTTCATGCGACTGCTTTGTGCATTTTTCACAAAATTTTCGACGCGAGCCATCACGATCTCGATTTGACCGCAAGCGTGAGCTACGAACATGGCTGCCAAGCAACACACTGCCGTGGTGACGTTGAACAGTACCATACCGGATAACCATTGTGCGCAAAATACAAGTACATAGACCGGAGTAAAATGTAAATCGAAAATAATATCGAACCCGGGGCAAGGTATTGGTTTAACAGTGACATTCTGCTTGTCGATTGTGGTGTGCGCCAGAAACGGCATTACGGAGTGAAAGCACACGCCTCCGCAATACATGAACATTATACAAAACTTGGATAACATATGGCTTTTTGCCACATTTTTAATCATAATTTTTCGATAATTCTGTTGCTGGACTGCACGCCAATCGGTACTTAATACGTGAATGCATTGCCGTATGCTTTTACGATGAATCACCAGAAAAAAATATTTTAGCGTCGAGATTAATACGTAGCTTAGCGGACCTAGCATTTTGATTTTGTCGTTTATAGTCGTTTGTTCAGACAATGTAAAAATGGCCATGGGAATTATAAGGAAACTGAGCGCGGACCAGCATAACGCGAATGATATCGTCGCTATTATCTTCTCGATCGTTGTAGTATTCGAATAAACCAATGGCCAGATTCCGAGAATTCGTAGTATCCATCGGTTCCATACTAGTGCGTTGATTATATCACTCTCACTATTCACATTTGACCAGGGGATGTTAAGCTTAGCCATACTGTCGTCACGATGGCGCGAAGGCGACTGATGTACTTCATTGGTAGCATGATGGTAAAAAATTGCGCATGACAGTTGCAGGTGTTTTCAACATTGTAAGGATAGGAAAGGGGAAAAGTAGCTTGCGTGCGCTTGAACAATCAATTTTGTCGAGGGGAATATTGTTCGTCATAGTTATATTTCTACTTGAACGGGTGGATTTCCTGCAGCGTATAAAATTGTACTATTTCCGTGTAATTTTTTATTGTATGCGTAATTAATTTTTTTTTATTAAATACTGTGATATGATTTAAAATGAATACATGTTATTATCTTATATGATGTACAAGATAACAACATGTATATTGTTATCGTAGATTAGAACATATTTACTTAGCGTAATGTATAAATCTTTTTTAATGAAGAGGTTAATAAATCTTATGTTGTTGTTTGATACGGTAAGCAGTATTAAAAAGAAATATATAATTACCGTTATGAAGAAATTTTTACCAAGCATATTACAAACGTCGTTCCCATTATCTTGAATAAACGTAACTATATAATAGCGCAAAGTATATCGATGCTAACTGAAAATCTACCAGGTATGAACTGACATTGGTCAAATATTTTTAACGAAATAGACGAAAACATAATTCTTTTAACAGATGATGATACTTTGAATAATGTTAATTTTTTATATTTAATAAACTTTTGATAAAGAGATTAGTAGGCTTTCTCGTGCAGACGTTATTGAAACGTGTAGGTAATTTTACAGACACTAAAATGGAGGCGAAGATAGCAAGACAAGATATTTACCTTAATGTTCGCACATGATGATAATAATCGTTATGCATTTCTCAAACTTTGTGTGATTGCATTTGTTCTTGAAAAAATTTTCAATGCGTGCTATCACAATGTTGATCTGCTACACACATTAGCGATGAACATTAGCGATGAACATTGAATATGGCAATATTGAGGAGAAAAGGCGAACATGAAAAGATTACACTGAAATTGAAAAACGCTGTATCTGTATATCTTCTTTGAGTTGTAATGAATTCGACAGAGGTACAAATGATTTTCTTGCGTAAACAAAATTTCAAAATATACTATTATAGTCGTGGGTAGACCGTTTTTTAACTCCCTGGTATTTTCTTACTAGGTTTGACGTTCGACGAAATAACGGTTCAAACGGATGAAAATGCACTATATTAATCATTTCAGATTTTTATAGAAGTTCAATGCCGGTTCACATCGGTTCCTCCTTGCAGAAATGCGATTTCAAGATAAGTTCTCTGTCATACTTTCATTTCTTCAAATATATTAAAGTGAAACACGAGATACGTAAAAATTCTTTGTTAATATGAAAGAAAAATTACATTGGAAAAACAGGTGTGTAGATGTCATCACTGAAAAACTAATTTATTTTCTATTTTGTTCCAAATTGAGGTGCGTTCAGAAATATATACGATGTAGAAATGAAGATTGTGTTTGCAAACAACATCATCATAATTGATGGAAAATTGCAAATATTTCCATCGCATTTTTAATGGCACATTGTAATTGATGCGGCTTCGCTAAATGATAAGCGTATAGTATTTTTATAAAATTTTGATTTCGATTAAGTTTGTTTATTTAAGATATTGATATGTGCATTTAATTGGTTGTATCAAACACGTATACATTATTATCACTAAATATATTCATTTAACGTAATTATAAATTTTTTAGTCAAGGAATTACTGAATATTATTTTATTTATTGATATGAAGTAGGATTAAAAAATTCTTTCGCATGGATCAAACGAAAGTTCGGAGCATATTTAGATATGCAATCGAAGTTTTCAGTACCTGTTAATGTATGAAATATGTCCTTAAAAAATTTTTATTATTGTGCTTTTTCACCTGCGAGTGATGACAAATTGTACTTACAGAGCCAAAACTTGAGAACGAAAGATTGATTATTTTTCCTGCTGTAATTCTTATCGGATGCTGTGATATGCTGATTATTAACGTGAGATCGAGTGCAATTTTTTTTGGTAAATGATACCACTCGATTTTATATGAAGCAAATCCAACTTTGCTGCACTAAGTATATAATTTATATATACGTTAATTTATATATACATATGTTATCTGTATATGTCACGCAAATTTTTATTATTATTAGAGATATGTATTATAAATTTTCACGATATACGGAGTGTATCTGAAATAACGCCCTCTAATCATATAGTACTATTATTGATAAAAAACTGAATCAAAAAGTCCTGTACAATTTTGAAATTTTCGCAATATTTTTTTTAGTTAAGCAATGAGCAAAATGTGTAAAATCGGCGTATAAGAAAATTTTAAGATATCTAAGAATTATTTACGAAACATTTTCTAAATATTTTGCGAAAAACACTATTAGATATTTTAAACATGTCTTATACATCGATTTTATCTGTTTATTCGGTAACTTATACGAATGAATATCTTGTTAATTACTGTTAAAATTGTAAAATGTTAGAGGACTTTTCGTCTTACAAGTAATTTTTTATTAGGAATGGCGCTGTATGATTAGTGGGCGTTATTTTAAATATACCCTGTATATTGCAATATAAAAAAATATTTTAACATTTAATATAATTTAATTCATTGTTAAAAATTTATTAAAAATTTAAGTATAAACACCTGATTTGTTAATTGTTCGCCAATGTAACAAAGCGTGAAAACGTTGAAAACAAACGATATTAATAGAAAAAAATATGTTAAAATTGCTATACCGTCATTGTTATTCCATTCCTGTGAGACATAGGTAATATTAAATCATTAATTATATTTTTTTATTGAATCAAGAACATATGTTTTCACACCTTAAAATTTTAATTCTTTAAAATAGAAAATAATGTATTCAAAAAAAATTTCAAATAAGTAATGAAAAAATTGATATAAAAGTGTGAGTTGGATCATTTATTTTAATTTTCACATCGCAATTATTTTTGAAATTTTTTACACATTACCGTGATGCAGTAATATTCACACAAGCATATAGTTAACGTTGTTCCCACTATTTCAACCAGACATATTTCGCGTAAAATATTATCGATACTGACTGAAAATCTGCAAAATCTTTTATTGTACATATATTATAATATATATTTTATATATTTCATTTAATAATTTAATTTCTATTTTCTACTTTCTGCGGTGAACTATTGAGTACGATTAATAAAATTTAATTATTAATTTAATTATAATTTAATTATAAGTTCAATTATTAATTAAATTTAATTATTATTTATGAAGTAAATATTTCTATATTTATATAGAAGTTAAACATTTACTTTTCTTCCGCCGTAATAATTCTTTATCAAGCAATTCATACAATTTTCAATTTAAATAGTCAGATATAATCGACACAACATTTCTTTTCGTAATCATCTGCATAAAGCACTCACCTCAATGACTGCATGTGGTGTTTTACGATAATTGCCATACGTTGCTTCATGCGACTGCTTTGTGCATTTTTTACAAAATTTTCTACACGAGCCATCACGATTTCGATTTGACCGCAAACGTGAGCTACGAACATGGCTGCCAAGCAACACACTGCCGTGGTGACGTTGAATAGTACGATACCGGAAAACCATTGTGCACAAAATACAAATACATAGGCAGGCGTAAAATGCAAGTCGAAAATAATATCGAAGCCGGGATAAGGTATTGGTTTAACAGTGACATTCTGCTCGTCGATTGTGGTGTGCGTCAGAAATGGCATTACGGTATGAAAACACAAGCCTCCGCAATACATGAACATTATGGAAAACTTAGATAGGACATGGCTTTTTGCCACGTTTTTAATCATAATTTTTCGATAATCCTGCTGATGGACTGCACGCCAATCGGTACTTAGCAGGTTAATGCATTGCCGTATGCTGTTACGATGAATTAACAGGAAAAAATATTTTAACGTCGAAATTAACACGTAGCTTAGCGGACCTAGCATTTTGATTTTGTCGTTTATAGATGTTCGTTCTGACACAGTAAAAATGACCATGGGAATTAGAAGAAAACTGAGCGCGGACCAGCATAACGTGAATGATATCGTCGCGATTATCTTCTCGATTTTTGTAGTATTCGAATAAACCAATGGCCAGATTCCGAGAATTCGTAGTATCCATTGGTTCCATACTAGTGCGTTGATTATATCCCTCTCACTATTCACATTCGACCAGGGGATGTTAAGCTTAGTCATACTGTCGTCACGATGGTGCAAAGGCGACTGGTGTGGTTCGTCGGTAGCGTAATGGTAAAAAATTGCGCATGACAGTCGCAGGTGCTTTCAACATTATAAGGATAGGAAAGGGAAAAAGTAGCTAGCGTGCGCTTGAGCAATCAATTCTGTCGAGGGGAATATTGCTTTGTCATAGTTATATCACTACTTGAATGGGTTTTCTGCAGCATGTAAAATTGTGCTATTTCCGTGTAGTTTTTCATTGTATATGTAATTAATTTGTTAAATTAAACTATAAAAATTCTACAAATTAAATCAAGAATGAAAAAAGCCTTTTAAGAGCCATTGCTGGATACTTTTGTAATCATATTTTATTGTACAAAATAATTGAACACGTTTTGATGCATTGTATGAATCCTCTTCAGTAAATACATTAATGATGAAAATATTGATTTTTCGTAATTTGAACTTTGAATAATGTGTATCTGTTAAGTCAATTCGTATCCATATGTCAATATCCATTAAATTACCAAATTTAATGACTGTTTGAGTATTGGCATATCGTGCGATGTTGACAACTCGCTTGTCATGGATCTGAACCGAAGAGGATTCAAACCAAGGATCGAAACGTCTTCTATTATTTTATGCAATAAATCGTGATCGCAACATTTTTATAAAATTTTGATTCGGTTAAGTTTGTTTGTTTAATGTATTGATATGTGCATTTAATTGGTTGTATCAAACACGTATACATTATTATTTTGAAATATATTCATAGAATGTAACTATAAATTTTTTTAGTA